GGGTAATAACTGGAAAAGCATGACACCTCTCCTTTAATATAAAGGGAGGTCAGGTACTCTTTTAAACAGCTGCTAGTTATGGGTACTTTTTACTGAAGTACATTTCAAAGCCCTCTTTACTTTTACTTGAGTAAAGAAGTTTAGTCAGTACTTCTACTTTTACCAGAGTATTTTTAAACACAAGTATCTGTACTTCTACTTGAGTAAAGGATGTGTGTACTGCTAACATTTAACATCACTGTGGATATTTGATAACTTTAGCTCCACGTTTCTTACCCGATGTAAGATCTTTCTATACAAAATATAGGATAAATGATGCATACTTATAGGTAAATCAAACCAGAAGTATATACATTCATTTTAATTGGCCCCACTTTTAGCAGCTACAACATTAATGAATCAATATATAGCCATTTATAATTCAGAAAAGTACTTAATGCACCACTGGCTGTAGGAATTTGGAGGAACAACTGACGTTTTATTGGCAAGGCTTGCATCGGGATTCAATAGAAACAGAATGGATATTTAAGAGGCCCTGTTCTGCTTCTGCAGGGGTGTCAAACTCAAGGCCCGGGGGCCAAATCCGGCCCGCGACCTAATTTTATGTGGCCCGCAAGAGCTTGCAAAGAATATAATATACAATACAATTGGTGTAATTGTTGAATATTTACTTTCAATTATTTGCCCTAGACTTCTGCTTTCAGACGTAGTTATTTAGGAAGATATTACCAGATCTGATAATAATCCAATGCAGGGACAACAATGTAATATAATACATTATTTAATATATATTATATATTTACATATGTATATTTATATAAATTACAACCTGCCCTTTGAGTGCAACCATAATGCTGATGTGGCCCGGGATGAAATTGAGTTTGACACCCCTGACTTAACCAATAAAAAAACACTCGTGGACCACCTAACTCCACAAATATCCAAAAACACATCGTTTTTCTAGAACAGATTACAAATCGCCTGAAAATGGTACAAACAAGTGGCAACATGTGTGATGAAGGTGTTGCGCTGGGCTCTATCATGCAATCGAAAGTTAAACTTAAGCTCGCTCCATTGTGAAGATATTCCCGCGAGAGTGCGGAAAACTTAAATTTATTTATTTATTTCAAATGTGAAATTTTACCAATATACTCACGGACCACTAGGGGGCGCTCACCACACTTTGAGAAGCACTGCCTTAAAGTGACTTAAAAAAACAGAATAGAGACTTTTGAGTCTGTGATTAATCTGTGTTTTTGGGACCCGTCCAAATAGTGTGTGAACGTTTTCCTCCAAAACCCAGCAGGTTACAAAGAGGCTTTGTCACTGACCTGAACGATTATACAGTATTCTGCCCTCAGGGGTTTTAGGAGCTGGGATTTTATTGAGAATTTCCGAGAGAAACAAATGTGGGAAGTAACTAAGTACAACTTTGAGGTACTTGTTGAGTATTTCCATTTTATGCTACTTTGTACTTTTACTCCACTACATGTATTTAATACCTTTAGTTACTTTACAGATCTGGATGAATGATGTGAAATATAATCAACTTTTGATTAAAGGATTTTTACTGTAACAGAGTATTCCTACACTCTGGTACTTCTACTTTTACTCAAGTATCAGATCTGAGTACTTCTACTTTTACTCAAGTACAAGATCTGAATACTTCTACTTTTACTCAAGTACAATATCTGAGTACTTCTACTTTTACTCAAGTACAAGATCTGAATACTTCTACTTTTACTCAAGTATCAGATCTGAGTACTTCTACTTTTACTAAAGTACAAGGTCTGAGTACTTCTACTTTTACTCAAGTACAAGATCTGAATACTTCTACTTTTACTCAAGTATCAGATCTGAGTACTTCTACTTTTACTCAAGTACAACATCTGAGTACTTCTACTTTTACTCAAGTACAACATCTGAGTACTTCTACTTTTACTCAAGTATCAGATCTGAGTACTTCTACTTTTACTCAAGTATCAGATCTGAGTACTTCTACTTTTACTCAAGTATCAGATCTGAGTACTTCTACTTTTACTCAAGTATCAGATCTGAGTACTTCTACTTTTACTCAAGTATCAGATCTGAGTACTTCTACTTTTACTCAAGTATCAGATCTGAGTACTTCTACTTTTACTCAAGTATCAGATCTGAGTACTTCTACTTTTACTCAAGTATCAGATCTGAGTACTTCTACTTTTACTCAAGTATCAGATCTGAGTACTTCTACTTTTACTCAAGTACAAGATCTGAGTACTTCTACTTTTACTCAAGTACAAGATCTGAGTACTTCTACTTTTACTCAAGTATCAGATCTGAATACTTCTACTTTTACTCAAGTATCAGATCTGAGTACTTCTCCACCTCTGCTGAGAAATGTCCCCACAGCTGTATTGGATCGGACAGAACTTGATACTCAGCGTCTCACTGCAGAGATGTGCTTTCACTGATAATAAGCTCTCATGTTTCACAGCTCTTCTGCTGGTACTGCCTGTGGGTTTCTCCGCTGCCAAAATACTCAGAGATTTACTGCTGCCAGTTTGCCCGCAGCATGTATGCAACTGTTTCTTTATCTGTCTCCAGCTATTAGATCATTCATTTACGCAATCTTTGAGAGTTAATCCCTGTTTGTGGTAAGGCTCCGTTCCCAGCCTACGGTAAATAACTTTATGTAGACGAAGCATTTCACAGTTAAACTATAACTCAGTACAGATGCTTTAAAGGTCACCTATTATGCAAAATCAACATGTGTCCCCTCTGTGTAAAGAGACTCTGAAAGTTTCAGGAACAAAGATTCTCTCTCTTTTTCTCCTGATCCATTTCTATAAAAACCTGTCTGAAAATGAGCTGATCAGATTTTGGCCACTTTATGATGTCATAAAGATGTTTTGTCTTGTATAACCATTAGCCAATCAGCAACCAAGGTAACCCCCCCCCCCACCTTATCACCTGAATCTCCTCCTAGAGCACCATTGAGTTCTTTGTAACCAAATCTCTCTCATACCCCATTCACACCAACGGTGTTTCGGGGCCGGTTCGGTGCTGGTGCTTGAAAAGCACCGGGTTTTCCTGTTCACACCGCAGCGGAGCAGCCTCTAAGCTCCGGAATCCGGTTCGTTTCGAGCACCAAAAAGTTGTCCGTCTAGAAGCAAGAACCGCATACGTCACGCTTACGCTAACAGTTAAGGCGAGTACGGCAAATAAAAGTTGTAACAAGCAGTAGTGCTGAGCAAAGTGACTAGAACGCAACCACACACTTGTTAAAAAAAAACACGCTTTATAAAGTCAGGCAACACTAACCAGGCTTCGTGTGATTCTGTTTATTTGTACCTTACTTTGACCATCCGTTCGCTGTTATTGGTCATTGTGGAGAGCAGGCAGACGTTTTGTTTGTTATTATAGCAGCTATCGGATGGAATCAATACATGGGCTGCACAGGTTGTCATGTCCGACTATCACAAGTAGAATCATAATGAAAAATACGCCGGTAAAAAGTGCCTGGAGAAAACGGCTTAGCAAGTAGTCAGTTTAGCTTCGGTTGCTATGCTAACATCACCCATGTTATACCAGAGAAACTTTCATAACAGCGTTGTGATGCCAAACAGCGTCAATTCAGACTGACACACATTCACTTAAGGGGAACTGGGGATATGTATCAGCTGCTTGTGTGACAGTCAGACAGTGAATACTTTAGAGCCGTGTGAGCTAATCCGGAGCTAACGGGAGAATAAACTCCCGTTGAAGAGCAGCCAGCACTGCAGCGGTCGGTAAATGAAACACATTAATAAACAATGAACCACGGCACTCTGGAGAAAAGTATAAGGTTGGAGAAGTCGTTATTTAATTTAATCTGGCTTCGTATGATTAAAAGCAACACGATCATCGACCCGACGCAGTCCCCCCCCCCCCGTTGTTGTTGTGAGCTCCGTTGGGGAGAAAATCAGCGATGTAAACGGTGGTGTCATGAAGCGGCAGCTGGGCGGTGTGAACAGAGCGGGAGCTGAAAAGGGAAACCGGAGCTGAACCAGAAAAGCTCTAGCTAGGAGCTAGAAAGGGAAAAGCAAAAAAAAAATAGGGACCTTTAAGCAGAAATAGACTAGTGGAAAGGAAAACCCTTGATTGAGGAAAACAGCAAGTCATTGCATCATTGATTGTGCAACACGATACATGGGTCAGTTTTTATTATCAGTAGCTGGTTTGTTACCAAACAGGTTTCTACATACAAGGAAATGCATTGGTGTAGTTGTGTGTAGTAGTTTCAACATACGTAGTAAGATAAATACAAAATAAAATAAAGGCAGAATCAATCAAATAAGATGTGAAATGAAACAATACAAATGTTTTTTTTAAATATAAAAAATAATTTTCAATAATTAGATAAAAAATATATTTAAAAATATGTACAAGAAAAATAAATATGTAGCTGAAAGAAAACAATAAAGTATAATATGATCAAATATCAGTCATTCAAAATGAATATTCACAAGAGTCCTAAAAATGGTGGAAAATAAACAAAATATGATTAAAATATGTTCAAATTCACAAAAAACAAATGTTAATGTATACAATTAAAAAGTGTTTGAATAACAGCGATAAAGATATGTACAGAGTATGTGAAATTCAACTGAAAGGAGCTTTGCAGGTAGCATCAACACCTCATTGAATACATCAGGAGCGTTTACAGCATAGATCTTTTACAGTCAGTTTTAACAACTGTGGGAAACACACGAAGCGGAAGCTGTTTCTCATAACACCAACTCGCTGTTTCTCACAACACCAACTCGCTGTACCAGGAACTATGAAATGCAGGAGCTAAATGAATAATTGAACATTATTTCCATCCGTGCTTTCCCCTCGTCTTTCTTCCTGGAGGCCGAAACAGAAGACTTGTGTTTTCTGCTGGGATGCATTTGAATGTGTTTACATGCACATGAATGACATGTTTATGGGTTATTAAAATATCTGGGACGAGGTGTTTACACCACGAGCAAACCAATAAGAGGACAATTAAATTAGAACTTATTTATTTAGCCTTTAGCGTGTGTTTGGTGTCTCTTATTACTCATCTCTGTGTGAGTTGTTTTATGTCACTTTGTTGTTATTTGTTGTTGTTTCCCCCTCTTTGCGTCACTTTGTGCTCCTATTATGGTTGTTTTGCCCGTTACCCTAGTCGCTGTGAGTCTCTTTGTGACTCGTTGCAGCTGTGGTGCGTCTCGTTGAGTCCATTCAGGTGCGTTATAGTCTTACAATGTGTCATTTTGTGTCTACTTGTGGTCACTTCTGGGTTGTTTTGCCCTTGTTCCAAGTTGTCCTGAGTCTTCTTGTTGATTTTTGCAGCTGTTGTGCGTCTCGCTGAGTCCTTGCGGTCTCTTTCTAGTCTTACTTTGTCTGTTTATAGTTGTTGTGCATCTCCATGGACTGTTTTGGTCACTTTGTAGTCCATTTATTTCTCTTTGCTGTCATTTTGTGTCTCCTGGTGCTCCTTTCCTTGTTTCTCTTGCCCTTTGTCCTTGTCACCGTGAGTCTCTTCAGGTGACATTTTGCAGAGGAAGGCCAGTGGGTCTCTTCTGTTGCAAAAGGGTCCTTTTTTTTTTAAAGTCTTAACTAGTCAGGAATCAGAGGAGGAAACATGGAAATGGGTTAAAAGCATGCGGCATGCAGTGAGGGTCTTTGCACCAGCAGAGGGAGGCGAGGAAGTGAAGCCTCTGGTGAAGAACTTGGCTGACAACCGTCTCACTTTCTCCTTTTCGGTGGATCAGACAGCAGGTGAAGAGCAGTGCGGCTGCAGAGACACAGACAGACAGACAGACAGACAGACAGACAGACAGACAGACAGACAGACAGACAGACAGACAGACAGACAGACAGACAGACAGACAGACAGACAGACAGACAGACAGACAGACAGACAGACAGACAGGAGGAGAACCTGTTGGATTTCTGCTCTTTGTCTCTCCTCATCACACCTCCCTGGATTTACACTTTTTCTTTCACTTGTATGAGTTGGAGTGACGTCCTCCTGACTGGCGGCTGCTGTAATGAGATGTAAGTAAACTTTAGCTGTAGTTGTATTTCTTACTTTTCCTCTTCCCTAAATACTAAACTCTGCTTTCTGTTGCAGCCTCTGTCCTGGGATCAGTGTGTATTCTGCTCTTGATGTTGAGGCAGCAGAAATGCCGGGGTGATGACGAGGTTACCTCCAACACAGGTGGGAGATTTCATCTCTGTTCATCTCTGTTAATGTGAGTTTGTGCTGCTTTAAAAAGCTCCAGGAAACGTATGAATTAAGGGACCCTGCATGCCTGTGTTCTCCTGGGGTTTTATCAGGGCTTGCTGTGAACACCGGGTTAAGCTGCCATTAGACTGCTAGACATTCCCAAACCCCTGATAACAAAAGACAGGCTGTGGCAAGTCTGCTTCTGCCGCTCCGAAAACAAACAGCAAGTGGAACAGGCTCTGAAAACATATGGTTTATTTATTGTTGGCACACTATGTGCTTCGTATGATGACATGTATACAAACAGGAAAAAGGCATTATGGATGTTTTGCTGATGCATGTCAACTTGTTGCAGGATTAATATCTCCATCCCAGTCTAAGGAGATGCCTTTAAGTTTTTATTCAGTCCACCTTATTGTCAATCTTTGAGTTTGTGTGGACAGACAGAGAGATGTGTTTAGATTTAGATATGTAGTTTAGTATGATATAAAACAGAGAGAAAGTAGGAGGCATAACACATTTTTGTTGCCCTTTTGCATGAAAAACTACAATAACAATGCATTAAATATCAAAACGTTTCAGTTGAGTTCTCAATAAGTCAAGTCATTTTCCAATTTTTCAAAAAAAAGCCTGCATTCCTCGCAGTGAATCCCCCAGACAGACATTTCCTGCCTGGCCTGTATGACCACACACACACACACACACACACACACGCACACACACACACACACACACACACACACACACACACACACACACACACACACACACACACACACACACACACACACACACACACACACACACACACACACACACACACCCCTCTCACACGCCTTATATACACAAAATACTATCCTGCCCTCAAGGGCCAACATTTTCAGCTGTCATAGGTGAGAAACACCTTTCCCCTCCTTTTTCCTGTCTTCCCATCTCTGCTTTCACAGCTGAGACTTGTTATTTCTGAATGAAATATGAAATGCTGTGTCATGTTGCACACACACATGGAGAGTTTAGTTTCAAGACATATCGACTCACGTGAGAAACTAAAACCTAAAGAGTAAACTGTTGACTCAGTGACGGTGATTCAACAAAATGTAATACAATAACTTTCATTTCCCTGCTCCCACGTGTGATATTTGACCTCAGAGTGACACTTTACATTACAGTGTGTGTGTGTGTGTGTGTAGTTTACATATCAGTGTGATGAGGTCAGTGTGTGTTGGCAGTGTAGCTAGGAAACAGAGGGGGGGGGGTGGGTGCGTTGGCAGAGAAAAGCACATTTTAACATGTGCCGGGAAATGGGGCTTTTTACCTGGAAATTGTACAAGTTTTCTCTCACGGTTCAAATTACATGTTTACGTGTATAATGCAACACCCTGAACTATGTATATATTATCTTGATCTGGCAGTAAGCCGTGCATGCATCTCAGGATGCTGGAATGTCTAATACAAACTGTTTTATCTGATATGATGCTAATCCTTAGAGGATTTCACCTTTCAACGTGTGCCTGTTTCATCTTGTCCATGCGTCCGTTAGACAAAGGCCTTTTCATCAGGATGACTTAAGTTTGCCCTTAACAGAGTTAGTCATATATCTGTCTACTGTGTGCTAGTAATGTTTGATTTGTGGGGGAAAAGGACTCTTTAAAGTAGAGACCCTACATACTGATATACACCTGAACATCAGCAGGAGAGGACTCTTTAAAGAAGAGACACTACATACTGATATACACCTGAACATCAGCAGGAGAGGACTCTTTAAAGAAGAGACACTACATACTGATATACACCTGAACATCAGCAGGAGAGGACTCTTTAAAGTAGAGACACTACATACTGATATACACCTGAACATCAGCAGGAGAGGACTCTTTAAAGTAGAGACACTACATACTGATATACACCTGAACATCAGCAGGAGAGGACTCTTTAAAGTAGAGACACTACCTACTGATATACACCTGAACATCAGCAGGAGAGGACTCTTTAAAGAAGAGACACTACATACTGATATACACCTGAACATCAGCAGGAGAGGACTCTTTAAAGAAGAGACACTACATACTGATATACACCTGAACATCAGCAGGAGAGGACTCTTTAAAGTAGAGACACTACATACTGATATACACCTGAACATCTGCAGGAGAGGACTCTTTAAAGTAGAGACACTACATACTGATATACACCTGAACATCAGCAGGAGAGGACTCTTTAAAGTAGAGACACTACATACTGATATACACCTGAACATCAGCAGGAGAGGACTCTTTAAAGTAGAGGCACTACATACTGATATACACCTGAACATCAGCAGGAGAGGACTCTTTAAAGTAGAGACACTACATACTGATATACACCTGAACATCAGCAGGAGAGGACTCTTTAAAGTAGAGACACTACATACTGATATACACCTGAACATCAGCAGGAGAGGACTCTTTAAAGTAGAGACACTACATACTGATATACACCTGAACATCAGCAGGAGAGGACTCTTTAAAGTAGAGACACTACATACTGATATACACCTGAACATCAGCAGGAGAGGACTCTTTAAAGTAGAGACACTACATACTGATATACACCTGAACATCAGCAGGAGAGGACTCTTTAAAGTAGAGACACTACATACTGATATACACCTGAACATCAGCAGGAGAGGACTCTTTAAAGTAGAGACACTACATACTGATATGCACCTGAACATCAGCAGGAGAGGACTCTTTAAAGTAGAGACACTACATACTGATATACACCTGAACATCAGCAGGAGAGGACTCTTTAAAGTAGAGACACTACATACTGATATGCACCTGAACATCGGCAGGAGAGGACTCTTTAAAGTAGAGACACTACATACTGATATACACCTGAACATCAGCAGGAGAGGACTCTTTAAAGTAGAGACACTACATACTGATATACACCTGAACATCAGCAGGAGAGGACTCTTTAAAGTAGAGACACTAAATACTGATATACACCTGAACATCAGCAGGAGAGGACTCTTTAAAGTAGAGACACTACATACTGATATACACCTGAACATCAGCAGGAGAGGACTCTTTAAAGTAGAGACACTACCTACTGATATACACCTGAACATCAGCAGGAGAGGACTCTTTAAAGAAGAGACACTACATACTGATATACACCTGAACATCAGCAGGAGAGGACTCTTTAAAGAAGAGACACTACATACTGATATACACCTGAACATCAGCAGGAGAGGACTCTTTAAAGTAGAGACACTACATACTGATATACACCTGAACATCAGCAGGAGAGGACTCTTTAAAGTAGAGACACTACATACTGATATACACCTGAACATCAGCAGGAGAGGACTCTTTAAAGTAGAGACACTACCTACTGATATACACCTGAACATCAGCAGGAGAGGACTCTTTAAAGAAGAGACACTACATACTAATATACACCTGAACATCAGCAGGAGAGGACTCTTTAAAGAAGAGACACTACATACTGATATACACCTGAACATCAGCAGGAGAGGACTCTTTAAAGTAGAGACACTACATACTGATATACACCTGAACATCTGCAGGAGAGGACTCTTTAAAGTAGAGACACTACATACTGATATACACCTGAACATCAGCAGGAGAGGACTCTTTAAAGTAGAGACACTACATACTGATATACACCTGAACATCAGCAGGAGAGGACTCTTTAAAGTAGAGGCACTACATACTGATATACACCTGAACATCAGCAGGAGAGGACTCTTTAAAGTAGAGACACTACATACTGATATACACCTGAACATCAGCTGGAGAGGACTCTTTAAAGTAGAGACACTACATACTGATATACACCTGAACATCAGCAGGAGAGGACTCTTTAAAGTAGAAACACTACATACTGATATACACCTGAACATCAGCAGGAGAGGACTCTTTAAAGAAGAGACACTACATACTGATATACACCTGAACATCAGCAGGTGAGGACTCTTTAAAGTAGAGCCACTACATACTGATATACACCTGAACATCAGCAGGAGAGGACTCTTTAAAGTAGAGACACTAAATACTGATATACACCTGAACATCAGCAGGAGAGGACTCTTTAAAGTAGAGACACTACATACTGATATACACCTGAACATCAGCAGGAGATGACTCTTTAAAGTAGAGACACTACATACTGATATACACCTGAACATCAGCAGGAGATGACTCTTTAAAGTAGAGACACTACATACTGATATACACCTGAACATCAGCAGGAGAGGACTCTTTAAAGTAGAGACACTACATACTGATATACACCTGAACATCAGCAGGAGAGGACTCTTTAAAGAAGAGACACTACATACTGATATACACCTGGACATCAGCAGGAGAGGACTCTTTAAAGTAGAGACACTACATACTGATATACACCTGAACATCAGCAGGAGAAGACTCTTTAAAGAAGAGACACTACATACTGATATACACCTGAACATCTGCAGGAGAGGACTCTTTAAAGTAGAGACACTACATACTGATATACACCTGAACATCAGCAGGAGAGGACTCTTTAAAGTAGAGACACTACATACTGATATACACCTGAACATCAGCAGGAGAGGACTCTTTAAAGTAGAGACACTACATACTGATATACACCTGAACATCAGCAGGAGAGGACTCTTTAAAGTAGAGACACTACATACTGATATACACCTGAACATCTGCAGGAGAGGACTCTTTAAAGTAGAGACACTACATACTGATATACACCTGAACATCAACAGGAGAGGACTCTTTAAAGTAGAGACACTACATACTGATATACACCTGAATATCAGCAGGAGAGGACTCTTTAAAGTAGAGACACTACATACTGATATACACCTGAACATCAGCAGGAGAGGACTCTTTAAAGTAGAGACACTACATACTGATATACACCTGAACATCAGCAGGAGAGGACTCTTTAAAGTAGAGACACTACATACTGATATACACCTGAACATCAGCAGGAGAGGACTCTTTAAAGTAGAGACACTACATACTGATATACACCTGAACATCAACAGGAGAGGACTCTTTAAAGTAGAGACACTACATACTGATATACACCTGAACATCAGCAGGAGAGGACTCTTTAAAGTAGAGAGTTGAACATAGAAATGTGCATTTGGTTTGAATATAAACTGGCAATATGCAGCGAAGGATAGATAAATACTTTCTAGGGGTCTTTTAATAATAATAATAATAATAATAATAATACATTTGATTTATATAGCACACTTTAAAAACAACGTCATCTCAAGGTGCTTCACAAAGCTATAAGGAACAATAAGTAAAAAGTTATCTAAAGGAGAATATTGGATAAAATATGGCAATATAAAAATTAAAATAAAAGGTTAAGAGCATAGAAGGTTTAAAAAATAAATAAAGTAAAGGACGGTCAGTAAAATGCGGTGTGGAACAGGTGGGTCTTGAGGCATTTCCTAAAAACTGAGAGTGATGCTGAGGTCCGTATGTTCTCTGGAAGCCGATTCCACAGACGTGGACCCAGGGAGGAGAAAGCACGGTCTCCCATGGCGACCAGTTTTGTCCGCGGGACAGCCAGGAGATTGGAGCTGTCTGACCTGAGTGTGCGTGAGGTATGGGAATGTTTTCTGGTGAGCAGTTCCTGTAGGTAGGTGGGGCCAGTGTGGTTGATGGCGTTGAAGACCATTATGAGGACTTTGTAGTTGATCCGGTGTGTTACAGGGAGCCAGTGGAGTGAGTGAAGGATGGGGGTGATGTGCTCTGATTTGCGTGTTTTTGTGAGTATCCGGGCGGCACAGTTTTGTATATATTGTAGTCTCTGAGTGGTTTTTGCTGGAATGCCTGCAAGCAGAGAATTGCAGTAATCAATGCGGGAGGTGATGAAGGCATGGACCAGTTTTTCTGCATCCGGTTTGGTGAGGGAGTGTCGCATTTTGGAGATGTTTCTTGCTTGGCAGGCCGTCTTTATGTGTGCTTGGAATGAAAGGGATGAGTCCAGTTTCACACCTAGGCTCGTTACAAGTGGGGAGAGGGGAATGGAGTGGCCATTATTGATGCTGATATGAGGGATATCAGTTTTTTGTGTTTGATGTGGTGTTCCAATCAGAATGGCCTCTGATTTGCTGCTATTTAGTTGGAGGGAGTTGTTGCTCATCCAGTGGTGTATGTGTTCCAGGCATCTTGAGACATTTGAAAGTGCCAGATGTTTATCCATATGTTTATATGTTCATTTTTATATTATTTATATGTGTGGAAGCTGATTTTAAGAACGTGTTTTTGGATATCAAACTAAACTGAACTTTCTCTGTAGTTCTAAACTTTGCTAAACTTAGTAATTCTGTCTTAGAAAGTTTTAAGAAACTGTTAGAAAATTCTCACAGAATAACAGATATGTAATAAAAAAGGCGTGGCAATGACTAGCGTGGGAACGAGCGCTCACCATCTCGTTCCTGCTTATTTAAGATAACAGTTTTTATCAGCCTTTTTTAAAGATACCAACAGTTTACCTCAAAGACATGAACTGCACTTGGATCAGGAACTACCTCACTTTAATAACAGATGTTTTATTGAGTCAAACTGCTAAAGGACAGAAATGTTCTTTAAGGAAAGGATCCAAGTTGAACCACATGTTAAATCACTTTGAATGATATACAACTGTCAGGTTTGTCTGCTTGTTTTCCACAGTGAACCCATGCTGTTATTTCCCCTGTCAGCACTGGGGTGTGTGTGTGCGGTTTGGCGATGAGTACGAGTGTGACTGCACCCTCACCGGATACTACGGAGTAAACTGCACCGTCCGTAAGTCCCGCAATATCATCTGTTACAAGAAGTATTTGATGCTCGCTAATGAAGCTACAACTAACTCATTTAGTAGATACATGTCTAGAAAATGTCAGAAAACAGTGAAAAGTCCAAGGTGATGCCCTTCTATTGTCTTCGTGTTCCCCCCCTTACTTTGGTGTTCGCGGTCAAATTTGACCAGTCCTGTTTTAACTGCTATTACATTAACACAAAAACCATTAATCATCACCACATATTGTATCAGACTACTGGTATACATGAAAAACTGCTGTAAATATACAAAGAATAGACACTGAACATGTATTGCGTGTGCCAGGTGTGATCCATGTGGGGGGATGGGCACATAAGAGCGGGAAATGTGTCAAATTATTCTGTGTGTGTGTGTGTGTGTGTGTGTGTGTGTGTGTGTGTGTGTGTGTGTGTGTGTGTGTGTGTGTGTGTGTGTGTGTGTGTGTGTTTTATCTGATCCGGATGGTTACTAATTCCTTTTCTTTATGGGAACACCATGGGTGTTACAAAGTTGACTAAATCATCCAAAACTCAATGAAAGTGGTGATCAGCAATTGATATGTTCAAATGTCTACTGTGAAGGATATCATAAAGCCTGAATGCAATCAAATGTAAAACTAAAAAGTTATGATTGATGAAAGTAGTGAATCGGTCAGATTTGACCCGAAGACAACAGGAGGGTTAATGTGATACAAAACAGAGAGAAAATTAGGAAATGTCATTATTTCAGAAGCTCATCACCACATGTTCTACCCTTTTTTGCATGAAAAACGACTATTCTAATGAATTAAATATATGATATGTGACTGCACCCTCACCGGATACTACGGAGCAAACTGCACCGTCCCTAAGTCCCAAGATACGTTTTAATATCCTGCCGAATGATTGCACTATTTGCAGAATTTGAAATATTCAGCGGTTTCTTTGTACACGAGAGGAAAGGATTAGATAAAAAGGGCTTTTTCGTTGATGTTGTTGTTAAATCAGGACATAGTGCAACATCGCTCCTGGCTCACAGGGTTAGGACTTCTTGTCTAGACCTAAATATTTGGGGAAGAAATGGAGGAATTGCCAGAAAGAGTCCAGCTGGATCAGAGAGGATCTGTTTCACTGAAGCTCCGTGCAGTTCTGCTTCTCATTAACGAGGAAAAACTCCCACACTGTGGCCCTTAATCACATCTGATGACTCTGCATGACAGTTATGCAGTTACATCACACTCTCTTGGCATAAAACATGATGAAACATTGCTTTGAGAGAGAGAGAGAGACAAAGGGAGAAGGAGTGGGAGGAGAAGGCAAGCAAACAGGAAAAGAGGAAATGGGTTTGAGTGATAACATTTACTTAAAATAATGGTTTTGTTTCTTACAGCTCTTTATACAATAACAGAGGCAACTTTATGGAGAAGAGATCATTAATCCAAAAGCATTCAGCAGATAGAGATCTCCCAAAACGTAGGAGTGATTTCTGACAAGACGCAGGGGAACCATCCTCCTCATTATATAACACATGTTGTGTACATTAAAGGTCCCATGTCATGCTTTTCCGGTTATTACCCGTCCCCTTGTGTGTTATGTAGCTATGCATGTAAACGGTCTGCAGAGTTACAAACCCTCAAAGTACACCCTGTAGCGAGTAAAACTCTAACACAGAAAAGACCTGTCTATGCTGCCCCAGAACGCCTCGTTGGAGATATCTCTTTTTCCATTTGTTTACTTCTTGGGTATAGTGACGTAACGTAACGCAATGGCTCCGCACATTGGTCCAAATGGACGTTACGTTACGTCCATTTGGACCAATCCGCGGAGCCGTTACGTTACGTCCGCGGAGCCGTTACGTTTGGACCAATCCACGGACTTCCTCACACACACTCGGCGGGACGTTGCGAGGCTCGCTGCTGCGAGGAGCGGGACACTGTGAGCTGGCTCACTGGTGCGGGGTCGGCGAGACAGCGAGACACCGCGGAACTCAGCCTGGGCACACACACAAACACCCAGCCAGGCTGCGGGTGTGTGTGTGTTTCGGGCTGGGTTTCGCTGTGTCTCGCTGACGGCCACTGGGTTCACAGGGAGGGGGGGGGGGCAGGAGCTCCAACAAGCCGTTTAGGACAGAGAGTGAATACACATGCTATACAGAGATGCTGTATGAGAAACCAATGTGAGTTTGGAACATTGAACAATGTAAATGTATTTTAGTAGACCTCAACAATGGAATTATGATCAGTAGAAATGGCCATGACATGGGACCTTTAAAGTAGCAGAAGACTGAAGGAAATAAAGACATTCCTGCAACAACAAAAAATGATGAAATGTTCACAAGAATGCAGGAAACAAAAGGTTTGACATTAAAAACATCCTGGAGGAAAACCTCTCCCCTTCATTTTATATAGTATTATTCCCAATGTTGAAACGCCCCGGCATGAAGGAGCTGAAAGACACATCTGTCAATAAGAAACATAACCCTTAACCCTCCTGTTGTCTTCGGGTCAAATCTGACCGATTCACTACTTTCATCAATCATAACTTCTTAGTTTTACATTTGATTGCATTAAGGCTTTATGATATCCTTCACAGTAGACATTTGAACATGTACAATTGCTGATCACCACTTTCATTGAATTTTGGATGATTTAGTCAACTTTGTAACACCCATGGTGTTCCCGGTCAAAAATGACCGCCATAAAGAAAAGGAATTAGTAACCATCCGGATCAGATAAAACACACACACACACACACACACACACACACACACACACACACACACACACACACACACACACACACACACACACACACAGAGAAACACAGAAAAACACACAGCGTCAAATACTGCGTTACTGTACTCAAATAAAGTGTATTATGACTCAAATATGGAAGCCTTGAAGGGCCAAAAAAAGTAGGACAGAGGATTCACGCTCCATATAAGTTCTCCATGCACTCTAATCTCAAGGTAATTTCCTTTTGTGTTAGCAAGTCAACAATTTGACACATTTCCCGCTCTTATGTGCCCATCCCCCCACATGGATCACACCTGGCACACGCAATACATGTTCAGTGTCTGTTCTTTGTATATCTACTGCAGTTTTTCATGTATACCAGTAGTCTGATACAATATGTACAGTTTGAAAGGGTGTTAAATGAAATTTGGTGATGATTAATGGTTTTTGTGTTAATGTAATAGCAGTTAAAACAGGACCGGTCTAATTTGACCACGAACACCAAAGTAAGGGGGGGGAACAAAGACAATAGGAGGGTTAAGTAAATGCCTTTTTGACTAAACCAATAAATTAAGATAAATAAAGACCAAATCTGAAATGATTATGGTTTTATTACAAGATTTCAGGGCCCCAAGAAAAAACTAATAGTACCACATTGAGTGAGCCTTTATAATAAAAGTTGACATTGTGCTTTTCTTATAATAATAATAATGCTCCAAATGTATTGATTACCCTAACATTTTTATAGGAAAGCTGAAAACTGTCATATTGTTTGTTCCCTTTCACTTATAGGTCATATTTTACACATCTAGTGTACAATAAGTGCTGTTTTGTTTTTCATTATGATGTGTTAATGCCTTTGTGTCTTAAAATGTGCTGTACAAATAAACTAACCTTAACCTTAAGACCTATAAAGTTTAAGTAGCCCAGACGTGTTATCCCTCAGTCAGCATGGAGCCTCTTCCTGATGATCACACTGAATTCTTGAAGGCCACGCTTTGACTGTGACGTAACGCGTCGGTTATCCCGAGTGAATTCCCAGCAGCTCTGACTTCCAGTAAGTAATCCAGATTGTTTTTTCACGTGCCCTCCCTTTCTTTCCAGCTGAGTTCTGGTCCAGAGTGCATCAGCTCCTCAAACCCAGTCCAGATGTTCTACATTACATCCTCACACACTTCCAGTGGCTGTGGGACGTCATCAACTCCACCTTCCTGAGGGACGTCCTGATGAGGGTCGTCCTCACAGGTATCAGCTGTTCATTCATATTACATTTATTCAGAGACGGCAAAAGTACTCACATCCTTTACTCAAGTAGAAGTACAAATACTCGTGTTTAAAAATACTCTGGTAAAAGTAGAAGTACTGACTAAACTTCTTTACTCAAGTAAAAGTAAAGAGGGCTTTGAAATGTACTTCAGTAAAAAGTACCCATAACTAGCAGCTGTTTTAAAGAGTACCTGACCTCCCTTTATATTAATAGAACAATAATGTCATTGTTAGCTAATGAATGTTTCCATGCTGAACAACGGCAACATGACAACGTTTTCATTGGTCCCTCTTCTTTAGAGAAGACCAGGAAATGATGGATACACGGATCGTGTTCAAATCAATAGGCACGCAATGACTCTAAATAATAATGATCACGCCACCAAACACACATTCAAACTAAAGGAACCAGCCTGTTTGGGAAATGTGACAAGTAGAAAGTACAGGTATTTGGGTTCAACATGTAAGAAGTAGAAAGTACAGGTATTTGGGTTCAACATGTGAGAAGTAGAAAGTACAGGTATTTGGGTTCAACATGTAAGAAGTAGAAAGTACAGGTATTTGTGTTCAACATGTAAGAAGTAGAAAGTACAGGTATTTGTGTTCAACATGTAAGAAGTAGAAAGTACAGGTATTTGTGTTCAAAATGTAAGAAGTAGAAAGTACAGGTATTTGTGTTCAACATGTAAGAAGTAGAAAGTACAGGTATTTGAGTTCAACATGTGAGAAGTAGAAAGTACAGGTATTTGTGTTCAACATGTAAGAAGTAGAAAGTACAGGTATTTGAGTTCAAAATGTAAGAAGTAGAAAGTACAGGTATTTGGGTTCAACATGTAAGAAGTAGAAAGTACAGGTATTTGTGTTCAACATGTAAGAAGTAGAAAGTACAGGTATTTGTGTTCAACATGTGAGAAGTAGAAAGTACAGGTATTTGTGTTCAACATGTAAGAAGTAGAAAGTACAGGTATTTGTGTTCAACATGTGAGAAGTAGAAAGTACAGGTATTTGTGTTCAACATGTAAGAAGTAGAAAGTACAGGTATTTGTGTTCAACATGTAAGAAGTAGAAAGTACAGGTATTTGTGTTCAAAATGTAAGAAGTAGAAAGTACAGGTATTTGTGTTCAACATGTAAGAAGTAGAAAGTACAGGTATTTGTGTTCAACATGTAAGAAGTAGAAAGTTCAGGTATTTGTGTTCAAAATGTAAGAAGTCAAAGTAAAAAGTCGTCAGAAAAAGAAGTAGTGGAGTAAAGTACTGACACCAGAAACATGTACTTAAGTACAGTAACAAAGTATTTGTACTCCACTACTTCCCACCTCTGCATCTATTAACTCATATATATGTTGTTATTAACAGTGAGGGCCAACCTCATCCCCAGCCCCCCCACCTACAACTCTAAATATGGATACCTCAGCTGGGAGTCCTACTACAATCTGAGCTACTACACCCGGATACTTCCTCCAGTGCCGGAGGACTGCCCCACTCCTCTGGGGGTCAAAGGTCAGACACTCTTTCATGTTTTATCCAAGCATCTATTAGGGGTTTAAGAAACGGCAAAAAATGTGTTATATGTATGTATGTATGTATGTGTGTGTGTTTGTGTGTGTGTGTATGTATGTATGTATGTATGTATGTATGTGTGTGTGTGTGTATGTGTGTATGTATGTATGTATGTATGTATGTATGTATGTGTGTATGTATGTATGTATGTATGTATGTATGTGTGTGTGTGTGTGTATGTGTGTGTGTATGTGTGTATGTGTATGGGTATGTGGGTATGTATGCATATCTGGGTGTATGTGTATATGTATGTGTGTGTACGTACATGTTTGTATATATGTATGTATGTATATGTGTATGTATGTGTACGTACATGTTTGTATATATGTATGTGTATGTGCATGTATGTGTACGTGCTTGTGTGTGTGTGTGTGTGTGTGTGTGTGTGTGTGTGTGTGTGTGTGTGTGTGTGTGTGTGTATATAAGTAGATACATGTGTACATGTGTAGATATTTGTCATTTCAAACAACCCCTATGTACTTTTTCGTTTTTATTTTGTTTTACCAATTTCAGTCGGTATTTAATTTGTCATTTTCGGGTCTCTAGAAATATATGATTTGCAAAACTGTACTTTTAATAAAATGTGATCCCAAATAAATAAAGAATGAAAAAAATAAACGGCAAAAAAACACACATTTTGAATTAATATGCAGATTTTTTCCAACAATCTAGCATTTTATTAATATTCTTTTTAATCAGAAATATGCAAATATTAATTAATTTGCTCATGAGTTGATATAAAGGATAAAGGTGGATGTTGCACGAATACACAGGTATATACTACACGTACTTTAAAGGGATACTGAAGTACAGTGTATATATAAGTATAAAAGCATATAGTGTAAAATAATACTAGGACACTGATGCTAATCTGTGACGTCATAAATGATATTGCAGAACATGGATTTATATATTATTACAGTATTAGTTCTGCTGTACAGTGTTTAATTCATTGTCCTTTAATCTCATATGTATATATTTGTAATACTTACTTGCACCATCTGCTCTTGAACGACTGTAATGCAGTATTTTTATAGTTTTGACGTATTTTTTTTGTATATCGCATGTTGCATTTGTCGTGGATCCGATGTAACACTCACGACATTAAAGAATAAGACAAAGAGGAATCAATAAGACACAGAGATGGTTGAAGTTAAATATGATATCGCTTTACAGCACTATAATGGCGCGTTTCCACTACACGGCCTCGCTCGGCCTCGCTAGGCCTCGTTAGGACTGGCTCACTTTATGGCGCATTTCCATTACAGTTTAGGAACTGGGGTAGTATCTATAGTAACGCAGTGTAGGCGGAGCCGTGACGTCATCTTCAATGAGAACCCCAGAAAAACAACACAGCCGTTAGCTGTTAGCACTCAGAGCTCACAGCTCCTCATATATGTTCAGAAACTAGA